CTAGACATATTTTGAGGTATGAATTTACGCCGGACACATTTTGAGTTATGAATGTACATAGGGTACGTTTTTCGGTATGAATTGTACACGAGACACGATTTGAGATATGAATTACGCGAAACACGATTCGAGGTATGAATGTACGCTGGACATGTTTTGAGGTATGAATTTACGCGAGACAAGAATTGAGGTATTAATGTATGTTGGACAAAATATGTTAACGGAAACTGAGGAACTAGTGGAAACTTAAACAATCAGTAGTTTAAATTGTATCTTAAGTCAGCTATTGTAGTTAGTGCCTTATGATTACTCGTGACACTCTAGTAAATCAGGATCTGTGCCAATAATCTTTAAATGGGGGCTCTATTTGTATTCTTCCAGGGTTATGTATGGAAAAACAAGTGAGTTGTAAAGATCTCACTGTGTAGTATTGACCATGTATTGTAAACCAATGGAATGTTCCTACTGATTACTCCCCATTCAGATTGCTGCTGCAGAATTTGTCTTTATTTCTCTATAGGTAACCCCAAATGCAAATGTCAGTAGGGCATTCATTATTGCCCCTGATTTGCATGATTCATATCTAGGTTTACATTTGGAAAATGCGCTGGCACCATCAAAAGAAACAGTGATTACTCTGTAACTTTGGTCAGTCTGGCTAACAGAGTTGTGCCACTAGTTGTATCCCTGATGTATTCCCATGCATGTGTGAGAATACACTACAGACATTTTATGGAACAGCCTGCATTGCAGATGTGTGCTTAATCTAGGACATCTTCTCACACATACATATCGACTTTACAATTACTTCAATGCACTAGGAGCTACAATATGCTAGTTCTGTGATCTGTCAATGATTGACAGCTGCTGAAATCATTTTTTCCAGGCTTGTCAAACCTGTAAAGCCTTGAGAAAAAATGGACTTTGTGTTTTCCCAAAAATGAAAAAGAACGCTAATTGAAATTAATGAAAAAAAATCAAATAAATGAATAACTGTATTAAAAACTCTCCAGTGACAGTTCTGCTCAATTAATAACTCTGTAATGATAAAACTCCTATAATGCATTAAAAAAAGATATATGTAAAAATACACCAGAAACATAAATATACAGCATTTACCAGAACAGGAAATTATTACACCTGATAATAAAATATCACAAAATTTTTGCCACCGAAAAACAAACAAAAAAACAACAAATATGCGCCACTGACTATACAGTATTTGGCAGAGTTCTTATCCACCTGCATGTTATATTTTGTACTAATTCAACAATCAAGTTAAAAAAATATTTTCCTATGATGCACATTTAAAAAAAAAAAGAAAAAAAAAAGTTTAATCTGGTTTTAAAAAATAAGAATGTTAATTCATAGGGCATTAAAGAAAGCTCGGGTGAAATCTAAACATGATTAGACTTCCCATTGATTGATGCAAATTTATAGATTTACTGTTGCATAACACAGCAATTTTGAGGGAACATTTCCGCAGCTTAATTTCCCAGTATGCCTAGCTGAATATGCAAATATTCACAGGCATCATGTTTCAGACTAAATTATGCATTTCTGCAGACTGCCTCCACATTGGAGTACTTTATAAATATAGCCACTGCCCAAATAAAATGAAAAAATAAAAGCAACATCACTATTTAGTAGATACACACCCAATGAAAACATGTAAGGATTTTCTTCATTGAGGGTATACCGAAATCTTGCAAATACTACAGATCTGCTGTCTGCAGCATTTGTAAGCCCTTACCTTCCATGGCTGTCCGATCACAGAGAAGTCTTGGCAAAGCAGGTGCTCTGAGCAATTGCCTGCCTCTTGATTGTAGCACAACCAAGCTTAGCAACCCGGAATTAACAGGACCGGTTATCTGATTGACAGCCAAGGAGTGTAACAAAGTTCATTTATAAAAGTACCAATTGTTCTTGAAACCTACACTTTTTTTCCTCTTCCTTTTACAAAAAGGAGGAGGAGACAGCCTTGAAACATAAAGCACTTCAGCAAGCCACGGTGCTTTAGGTGTATGGAGTATTCTTCAAATGAAAGCATAGGCTGTATAAGCTTTACAGTAATTCACTAAAACACAGGGACACTAGGCTCCAGAATAATTTCAATGAAGTTAATTGAATCTATTTTCTTTCTACACAATAAATATTTTTTCTTAAAGGAACACTATAGTGTCAGGAATACATATATACATACATTCTATACGTCTCAAAGTGCAGTTTATTGTGGCCCTCCTTGTCCCATGTTAAAAAGGTGTTTTACTCATCTTTTTTTCTAGTGCTGTGCGGGTCCAGTGCTTCACACTGGGTTTTTTGCCTTCTTTTGGATCAACAGCAAAACAGATGTGAGGAAGGTTGAACTTGATGGACAAATGTCTCTTTTCAGTCTATTTAACCATGTCTTCTCACAGCTAACCTCCACCTCCTTGGCTGAGATCCTCAAACTTGATGATCTCAGCCAATCTAATGATTTCCCATAGGAAAGCATTCGGAAGCTATTGCACATGTGCAACATAATGCCAATCAGCATCTTATCATAAAGAAGCACTGACCCATTAAGCACCTCTGAATGACGGCCACTAGATGTGTCTAGGCAGTAGTGACAGGGACAGGCAGTAAACACCAGAACAACTACATTAAGCTGTAGATGTTTTGGTTACTATAGTGTTCCTTTTAAGTAGGGATAAGATTGGCTCACCCATCAACTGTGTTGAGGATGCTCAAAACATTAACTTTTTTTTTTTTGCTATTGCCCCTTAATAATTAAAATGTATCCCTGTTTTTTTTTGTCCATTTTAAATTATACACAGGAACTACTTTTTCTTCCATCAATATTTAGAGACAATTAATGAATCTATTGTGGGCAATACAGATTTCAGCGGAAAGCTGAAAGCTAAACTACTAATTCGTTGAAAGGCAACCTGGAACGTCGCTTTATGCTTATAAACAAACATACTAAAAAATACTAAAATTTTATAACAAAAAAAACAAACAAACAAAAAGTAGGTGCATACTCAAATTAGAAGGTTGAGAACAGTAAAATACTTACGCAGATAAGAGGACAATAGCGATTATGGACCATTCCAGCATGGTATGGGTAATATTCTTATTAGTAAATCTGTAACACAAAAATATCAACTCACTTAACAGGTAAATTCATGGATAATGTTCACACAAAACACATGCTTTGAGGACGATACTTTTAGAATATTTCTTATGATCATATTTTAAAATTTATAGATACATAAAAGAGTTATGACTATTGACCATGTTTAATTGTCATTTACAGAATGCAGTTCAATTACCAGGGAAATATATAAAAAAAAAATAAAAAAAATACAGAATCTCAGATCCCAACTGTATATTTTTGTGTGCCAAGAATGCAAGTAAAATATTAAAATTCTAAAAGAAGAATGCAAGTAAAATATAAATCTGACAGTTAGCAAATAACATGTCGTTGGTAGGCATTTAAATCCTCACAACAATAGACTACCTTAATAAGGTAGATGTCTCTAACAAACCATTAAAACAATATATATACAATCCATATCTACAGCACATGCGCTATTACAAGTGCCAACTCTTATTTTGAAAAGGCAACGACTTTTGCAACAGGTTTAGAATTTCAGTCTTTTAAAACTTCCCAGTACCCAAAACTAAGACATGGACATTTGCATAAGATGGTGGAACGTCAGATGTGCTTTGATGTTTCATAATCCTAAGCCGTTTTAAGAACAATTTCTAATGATCCTTCATCCAACAAATACTAAATTATCTGGAGAAGAGTATTCATGAAGACGCCAGTCTTTGGTAAAGCTGTGGTCAACATAACATTGCTTATAGTCATGCTCATTATCTAAATAGCGAGGCTACAATTCTCAAATAAAAGAGTTATATGCATTTCTGTCTCTAGGGGAACTGCAGTGGAAAAGTTTCCAATCATTTTGCTTGTGGACTCCATCTTGTTGGTATAGTTAATAGAGTTATTTGTGTCCTCTCAGTTAGGCCTTAAATGGACACTATAGGTATCCAGACAACTTTCATTTTTTATATTGCAGGGTTAATTCAACCACTGGAGGCGCTTCCTGGATTCTAAAAGAGTTTTACTCTATGAAATGACGTTGGACACCCCCATGCTTTATTTCAGTGCTTTCTTTTGAATTTATTTTGTCCTTATATTTGAATTTCAAATTTTCAGTTTGGTAAATAACTCTGTTAGTGTTTACCTGTAATCAGCACACTAAATAGTTTTGTTTTTCCTCTCCTCAGTAAAATGGTGAAAACATATGCAATTTCTTCAGAAAAAACCCCAACAAATTTACAATTTGCAAACACTGTAAAAAAAATAAAATAACAGAATATTTTTCCAAATGCTTCCATGATGACAAAACCTGTCTTTTGCTTGTCAGGAGTCCTACAGACATTAAAAAAACTTGGAATTCTATGAGGAGTAATTAAATCAGATTCTGCTCATATGGAAGCATTGGTTAATGTTTCCCTATGAGAAAACTCACTAGAGAATTATAGTTCTCTTGTACTGAAGAGGATGCACTCATTGGTTAGCTTAATAGAGAGAGAGCATTCTCGTTCTTCTCATAAAATAGGTATTTTAATAAAACAGGGCTAAGGAGTGTTTTGTGGAAATCAGTGCTTTCTCGGTGTTTGGGATCAGCAGAAGGATTAGAAGAGACAAAATAAAGGACTTAATTATGTTATAGGATTTTCTTTTTTACATTTTTTTTTAGGGGGAGAGGTTCCTTATAGTTCTCTTCTTAAAGGGACACTATAGGCACCCAGACCACTTCAGCCCATTTTAAGTGGACCGGGTGCCAACTACCATCACCCTTAACCCTGAGCATGTAATTGTTGCATAAATAAAATATGGTGAGAGCACACAAAACACAGAACACAATAATATTACCCACAGTAGAATTGCTTTCTGAAAAGAACACAGAAAAATAACATAGGGTAATACCGTAATAAACAATAAATAAACGTATGGATAAAATACACTCACATACGAAGAGCCAATTACAAGCTGGCTCACACTGCACGCCTGGAAATAAAATAATCCTCAGGACTGGGATTATTTTATTTCCAGGCGTGCAGTGTGAGCCAGCTTGTAATTGGCTCTTCGTATGTGAGTGTATTTTATCCATACGTTTATTTATTGTTTATTACGGTATTACCCTATGTTATTTTTCTGTGTTCTTTTCAGAAAGCAATTCTACTGTGGGTAATATTATTGTGTTCTGTGTTTTGTGTGCTCTCACCATATTTTATTTATTCTTCACTTGTGTTATTTTAGTGGTTATTGTGGCCCACTAAGGTGATAGTAGCACCAGTATTTGTCCAAATTATTTTACACCGTATGTTTTGTATTTTACTATATGTAATTGTTGCAGTTTTTATAAACTGCAAGAATTACCTGCTATGGTTAACTCATCCTCTACCAGACAGCCACTAGAGGGACTTGTGGGTGCTTAGATGACTTTTGGTCATCTATAAGATGATGGACGCCCTCACACTATGCAGGAGTACTTCCAGCATCGCTGGACTCCCCATAGGAATGCATTGAATAATGCTTTCCTATGGGGAGATCCTAATTCAAGCGCGGCCATTGCTGCGCATGCGCCTTAGGTCTCCCCTGCGGGCAGACGTCCTCACGCTATGTAGAAGGATTTCCAGAGTTGCCAGACTCCCCATAGGACTCAATAATGCTTTCCTATGGGAAGCGGATGCGCATCAGGTCTCCACTGCCGGCGAACGTTGGTGGGGGAGGAGCATGGGCGGAGCTGAGCTAGCGCCAAGGGACAACAAAACGAGTTTGTTTTCTGGGCACTATAGTTTCTCGTTAACATAGTCGAACCTAGTAGTTCCATTTGGAACAATTTAAAAACTAGACCAAACACAAATCCTACTTATTATTTACTGAATAAGCTGTACTGTTATTCCAAGCATTATACTTCTATATACAAGGCATTTAATGTAACAATATCAGTGTGTAAGAGTACTCCACTCTGTGTTTTTTTTTTTTTGGAGGGGGATGGCATAACCTGTTATTATTTCCATGGTTTCAACATTTCCAGAAATTGTCCATCTCTACCAACAGCACAGCCCGTTATGTTGGTGTTCATGCGTGCCAGTATGACTAGTACATACTGATAAAAAGAAATGAAAACTGAGCTACCGGGTCGCAGATCACACTAAAAATAAGGTTTTGTTTATATTGTGTGGTTCAGTCACTTCAGATTGGGTGTCTGTGCCTAAGAGGTGCTACCTCTCACTCAAACCAAAGCATAACACTGAAAAAAATAATTTAAAACAAAAATAGTCAGATGTGTGATATTTCATTTTAAGTTTACAGCTTGGTTTTAATTTAATAAAGCAGCTCTGTCGCTTTGCAGCGTTTGCTTTTAAATGAATCCTTTTTTTGGCCCTAGTTGTTCTTGGTATTAGATTTGTTGTCACTTAGCTTTTTAGTAATACATAAAGTAGGGACCACTTTTCGCAATTTTTGGCAATGGTCGGAGCTTAATCAAAGTTCCATTTGAGCTGCTACACTGATTTACCTGTAATCCATCAGTCGAAAGAATCCCAACATAAGGGATGACAGCAGACTTCATGGGCAGAGACAAAATGGAGGCGCCCTTGCATTAAAACCCAAAAGTTAAAATTTATAAATAGAAGCAAAGTGGCAATTGGGGAAATGGGAGGAATGTAATCATTAAGATGCAAAGGGCATAAATAAAAGAAAGAAAAGATAATGTATTGGTTTTGGTTAGATTTTTTTTTTCCTGCTGTTGTATGTATTTCATGCAGTCTTTCTGCAATACAACACCCTACTCCATGAACGTCTTAAAATAAAACCTAAATGGAACACGACCACCCCCTTTGATGCAAGAAAGTGAAGGTTACTTACCTTGTTTCCAATGCCGAGAGACTTCGGCTGTCCACTTCACCTTTGTTAGCTCTTCTGCTAACTGTTTCACTTTCTCCTCCAATCCAATCCGCACCCCACCCAGCAATGCTTTTATACTGAAGGGTTCAAATGACAGGACCACTGCACTGAGACCGCCTCACTGAGATTAAATGGTCTGGGTGTCTTTAGAGATCCTTAAAAAAACTTTTATTGTATGGAGTTTTCAATTTGCATATTTACAGCACGCATAATTATTATACAAAACAGAAGAAGAAAGTCAAGTACTGCACAATGTACCACCTGTGAATGAATGACAAAATTCTACCATCCCAGCCAGCAAAAGTAAAGTGCAAATCAATACACAAACATAACAAACATGGCAGCTGCAGTTCCAATCTAAAAGACTACAAAAATAACAACTGATAAAAAATGCAATACAGAAATCAGATTGATGGGAGTTGTAGTACAGTAAGAGATGGAGGATCCAAGGTTGTTTTCATTACCAATTTATGGGTTTCTAAAGCTTATAAATGAAGCAAGCCCTGCTTCTACAGGGTCAGACTCGATGTGTGAACAAAAGCCGGTTTCTAAAGACAGGCTGGTTTTGGCGACTGTGATGATTTTGGTCATGATATGTCTGACGGATTCATTTTGACAAGCCATACACATGACTTTACTGTAAATCTGCTTGGATGAAGTAAAGCAAGAAAGACAGCCTCAATTCATCAGGGGAAGCTGAGACAAACAGAGATAAAAGCTGTTTCAATTCTGCAAAATACATGGAGGTATTGATTGACTCACTGGGAGACATTGTCCTTGTACACACTTGAAAGGTGAAGTTATTTGTGTCAATTAACTCTCATTCAATGTCTGTATTGATTGGCAAGGTCTCAACACTAGTCAATGCTATTAATATGCTATTTACAAAGGAAGAAAACACAGGACCAAAACTGCATCCTCAGATACTGTAACCGGGAAGGGATCATCATCCGGAATCTTAACTTGCTCTGAGAGTTTTTTTTTGTTTTTTTAAATAAACTATAAAGTGTTTATTTAAACACATTATACAAACCAAACAAGCTAAAATGTAACTATCAAAGAACAAAAAGTATTTTTACTTAAAGTGGTTTACTTTTTGAAGCTTTTCTTTGGCAGATAGGAAGTGTTAAAGTTGGGATATGCAGCCTTGCTGTGGCCAAGGAGTTTATATATTTTGCCTGACTAAGCAGGGTTATTCACTAAACTGTAGAGAATTTACAGGGGGATTGCATATTTTAAGCCAATATCGCTCAAATGGAAAAATAACTGTCCAACTAAGCTGTTTTCCCAGTGCGCTGTAGTAGGAAGTCGTGAGTGCTTCCCCCCCAACCTTTATAAGTAGTAAAACCATTTTATAACGGTTGGACTCGTTACCTGAGGTTGGTCTTTACCAGAGGCAGCTGCCAACCTCGACTACAACCTTTAGAGATCTTTAAGCTCCCGCTAGCTCTACTGAGCGAAGCTTTGCAGGGCGGGCTAGATCAATGATGTGATCGCTCTCAGCTTTTAAGCTAAACTCTGCACCTCCCAACATGGCTGTATTTGAGCTGAGCAGCATCTTTACGCGCACCCCTTTAAACTGGGGGTGCCTTGGCACTCATCATACCATAACCACTACGCTACACTGTAGTATTTACGGCGTTTGGAGTGTTCTCTTAAAATGGTAAGTTCCGTACAATTACTGAATTATACCAAGGTAGCCAACAGCAGCAGGACTTCCTACTGCAGCTTTAACCTACTCTGTGCAAAAGTGTAATCTGATATTAAATTGTTGTTGAATTCATATGGTTAGTGTGTTTTTTGTTTTTTAAAACTTATAGATTCAAGGATCCACTAATTAGAATTTGTAACTTGGCAAATAAAAGCGAGCTCAGTGCTTCTTGAAATAAGAGTTTTTTGAGGACAGAATCTGAAAAATACCATTATGAAAGTGGCTTGTGTAGATGCTGCTGCAGAGCTCGAGCTGAATTAGTCCGCTGCTAACCACCAGGTGCTATATTTATAAACCCAAGAGAAGCAAATCATTTACCTTTTGGTTTCCCTAGCAGAGTGGCCTGACAGACCGACAACCTCTGGGGAATAATGTGACATCTCAGTTTTCAGAACAAAAGCACACACGGCACGTTGGTACTGTGCTAAAGATGAACTGTAACCGTACTAAAATGTCTTTAGTGTTCTCCTTAGAGCATTCTCTCTCCGTACAGATGGAGCTAAAACACTGCACCAAATAGGATAAACTGCAAGTGTTTCATGAAAACCCAGTGGAGGGGAAAATTACAGCCCCTCCATTCACCACATGTTTTTTACTCTCCCCTCCCACAACAGCGTGACAAGAGCATCCCTTATGAAAGACAATCATCCTTTTGTGGCCTGTTAAATCTCTAACACACAGGGATGAAAGAGGTTACTGGTGTCACCTGTATAAACTCAGAATGTTAGAATTACTCTGGTCTCCCTGCAATACCTGCTGAATGTCCAAACAAGGAATAGCGTCTGTAAAAAGTAATATTGTGAGCAGTCTGCAGATAACTTCTGGTTAAACCTAAGGCCCCGCAACCTGCAGCAAATAATTAAAAGGTAACTGAGAATGATTAGAAGTATTCAAACAGCAAGTGTTAGTTTAGGATTGTTTGCAAGTACCTGCTGGGTCATAATTTGATTATCAGAAAAAGGTATTAATTTTATTAGCCTTGGGAGGATGAAAAGTTGAGTTGCCCTTGTCAGCCACACAACCAGTAATTCTTGGATGATGCAGCTGGAGCACTAACTACTGAGCTATCTTACCACAATCACCAAAGTGACATATTGTGAACCTGTAATAGTTGCTTATAAGGGGGGGGGAGAAAGAGAGAGAGAGAAAGAGAGAGAGAGAGAGAGAGAGAGAGAGAGAGAGAGAAAGAGAGAGAGAGAAAGAGAGAGAGAGAGAGAGAGAGAGAAAGAGAGAGAGAGAGAAAGAGAGAAAGAGAGAGAAAGAGAGAAAGAGAGAGAGAGAAAGAGAGAGAGAGAAAGAGAGAGAGAGAGAGAGAGAGAGAGAGAGAGAGAGAAAGAGAGAGAGAGAAAGAGAGAGAGAGAAAGAGAGAGAGAGAGAGAGAGAAAGAGAGAAAGAGAGAAAGAGAGAAAGAGAGAAAGAGAGAAAGAGAGAAAGAGAAAAAGAGAGAAAGAGAGAAAGAGAAAGAGAGAGAGAAAGGGAGAGAGAAAGGGAGAGAGA